ACCCAGTATATAGCTACATACACACAAGCCTCGCTTGCTTGCAGAATGATCTCGCTGCGGTGTCACTTAAAAATCAGTTGTTGTGAATGTTGCAGACATCAAGTTGGAGCAACTGGAGAACAGTTCTTCAAGTCTTGTGCAGTCCCATATCCAAGTCCAGCTCTGTCAACATTCACTACAAAGTCACTTCAATTTTGACAGGCTGGCCGTGAGGTGAACGAAATTTGTGTCGCCATCATGTTTCCTCTGGTTGTAGTGGCTGCGGTGATCGGCTTCCAGGCTGCTGCAGTACTAATGTCCACAACATTGTGTGCGGATCATGGTCGTAAGCACAAGGGTAGACAACATGGTGGAGATGGTGGTGGTGATGGTGGCGGAGGTGGCTGTGGAGGAGGCTGTGGAGGTGGTGACTGACGATGCCGATACAGCAATAAGGTGGATAAGGTTGCAACTGACGATGCGGATACTGCAATCAAAACGATTTATGGTGTCAACGAAAACATCGGCCACAGTTGAATATGGGTGTGATGAAACAATAGTGGCAAAGGCTAAATGGTGGCTGTTTTAGTAGACTTTTGTGCATATTTCCTTGTCTCCAAACTAGGAAATAGATCTTACTTTGTGAAGGACTTTGTTCTAAACTTGTGTTTTCTCGGCCCAATTATCCACTGAATAGTGGAGCCGTCCGTTTCAAAATGGTACAGTTGAATGCGTTGTTCGATGTAAAGGTCGCTTCTGTCCAGTAACATGAGGCTCGGTGAACCCCTGCGTAACCTTGCCCTCCAGCTTTTCCACAATTTCTGATATATTGCACAAAAACTCAGACTTCAGACTATGGATGGGTGGCTATCAGTTGTGAGGTAATGCTTTACATCATTTCTAGTTGCCATTATTGAATCCATCGTTGGGGTGGCTCAACGAGAAAGTACTGGACTTGAAGTGTCTGTGAAGATTATTCATGTGCTTCTAGTGCTTCTCTTCTATGGTCACTGTAACTACCAGGTCTTTGTACACGATTAGCTAGTCTGGAGTTACAATCACATCCGTCGTTGGGGTGGTGTTTTACTTCATGCTGAAGAAACGGAGTGCTTGAATCCACGCTTCACACAACAGCTGACCCGAGTTGGTGACTCGGGATTAGCAATCAGGCAAAAGCAACGGTAACGACAAAAGACCTCGATTCAGTGGGTAGTCAATTGCATGCTCCATGGCCATACGTAAGCATTTAGTTTTGCAAGTTCGATTCACATCTTGTGTCGCTATATTCCTTGTGAGAGCGGGACTATCTTAAAGAGAAATTCGAGGGTGCACTCCAAACCAAACATCCAGCGTAGCAGAGTTTTTGAGTTTAGAATATTGCAGCTCGCATTGGGTACATGGATTTTTGTGCAGCTTTGGGGTATCCATTGTCGACCTTGACAAAACAAAGCCCTCGTGAACTGTAGGTGATTAGATTTCATTACAACTCGCCAGATACGGACTTGCGGATTCATCAGTCTCCACTATCACACCCGTCACCTCTTACAGACATCCTCTCCCACCGTGAAAACTGCATATCTTACAGATATCTTACAGAACATGGAGAGTAGGCGCCTGATCCACTTTGAGTTCTTTCAAAACGGTTAACCAGGTTCTTCTGTATTGGAGGCACCGAGGCAAAGGCAACTAGCAGAGGTGGATATACAACTTGAATTATCCTTGTCGTGAGATGCATGCAGACCAAACCTCTTCTCAGCATTTGCCTGCCACTCTCCAGGTTCTTCTGTATTTGAAGGCTTGATATAGATAACCTCTTGGCCCTGATACACAGACCATTCAATGTGTTCATTGCCTACGACCCATTAGTAAAATACTAGTATCAATTTGAGGTTATTTTATTACATTTTTGTGATTTTTTATAATAATAAGATGAATTCAAATCAAATAATTTTTTTATTTTCCACAAGAATAACTAAAAAGTTATGATTTTTTTCTTTCATGTTTTTTTTCCCTACTAACCAACATTTATAGGTTTTTAATAGATACTACACATGAATAGTAGTGTGTAATAATTTTTTATACACATTTTTAAAGATTTTGTGAAAATAATTCATCACTTTTATAAGCCATTATGAAGGATTTGAGCAAGATTAGAGGCCTCAATATGGCTCTTGAATTAATTTGATATCCTTTAACACCATGGTAAAATTAAATTTTTAGACAAAATAGTATCACCATGAAAAACCAAAATAACTAGTGACAAGTAAGAAATTAGGTGTATATGTTGTATTAAGATTGTAGCATTTTGGAGGTAGTTAAAAGTGTAAATTAAGGCCATATGGCCCTTCAAATACACCTTGTATATCATTTGTGAGCCTTGATAAAGCTCAAAATTTTAAACATAAAATCAAATTATCTTAATCATGAAATCTTTATTAGATAATCTTTTATATAAATTTAATCTTAATATCTTTTATTTAAGAAATATATTTAGTTATAAAATTTGATGCATATTTTTTCATAAGAAATTACTGAAAAAAATCTAAATGGCATAAAATAAGAATTGAGATAAAAGATGTTTATATATCGTAAAATATTACTTTTCTTTAATCTTGGTTTTTAAGTTGGTCAAAAAGAGGTTTTGTATGAAATGATTATATAAATTAAGAAAACACAAGTTAAAGTGAACAAGATGAAAGAAAAGAAATAAATAAATTATTGATTTAGTATTTAAATGTTATTTTTGAATAATCTTAATTTAGACTTTGGCATTAGATGTATATCTTGATTCAAAACTTGAGTGCTTGTTTGCTACATATATAATTTGGACTTTGGTATTTATAAGTATTTAGAATTAGATATCTTATTTAGAGATCTTTATTAGACTTTAGAATTTAAAGGCTTTGATTAATTCAAATTTAATAGTTTAAGTTTTATAAAAAAAAAAATCCTTTGAATAACTTTTGATTAAGTTAACTTTGATAGAACAAGATCAAAACTTCAAAAAAATTAATAAAAAATTTAGCTCTTTTTAAACTTACGCCTTTTATGATACTTTGATGGAATCACTCAAGTAAGATTTATAGACATATTTTTATTTTTAAAAGTTATTTTTAAAATTTTTGTTATTAATTAAAAATAATTTATATCTTTTATATAATTTAAATTTATTTTTAGAAGTATTTATAGCCATATTTGGAGTAAGCAATCAAAAAAATATTAAAAAAAATTAACAATAAGACTGATAATTAATTATTATATGGATTGGAAAATTTCAATAAATTGTTTATAAAAGAGATTGGTATAATAAGGTTCTTATCAATCAGTTTTGATATAGCTTAAAAGCTAATATTAAAGATCTATTATTAATATTTCCAAAAGAAAATTCATTGAAATAATTTATCACTCAAGCAAAACTATAAGACAATTGATGCTTTAAAAGGTGCCAAGAACAAAGATTTTATTTAAGAAGAACAATTCAAGTAATAACAACTTTCAAGTCTTCAAAATTTTATTCATTAGAGCCAATACCTATGAAAATTGATACAATTGAATTTAGGAAATCACACCAAAAGAATTATATATGTTCTACAATAAAAAAATATATATATATATATATTTTTAAAAAAAATTAAAATCATAAAATATAAGATTATTGCATTAAATCAATTAGATTCAAGAAAAAATGAAAAAGTTCATATACAAAAAGTGAAAAAATAAAGACTTCCAATTATAATAGAGACATTGCAATTAAACGACTTTGTATTACAACTATCAAATATAAGTTTTATACTGCCACCAAATCCTATACTTTATTTTAAACTTTCTATGATTGTTAAAACTTCAAAATAATAGATAAACTTGAATCAATAGTCTTTAGACAGTAGACAACTTTGCTCTAAGTATGAACTTGTAATAAATAAGATATACACAATCTACCTAAATATCCAAATTCCGAAATAGAAAAAATTATATCAAAATAATAAAATAGCTGTACATTCAAAAAAATTAGCTAATATAATCATTATTGAGATGCTTCTACAAGAATTTTATTAGATTGAGGTCTAGAAACTATTTTGGCAATAACAACTTTTGTAAGTGAAGTTTTTAGAGAAGCCACTAGACTTTAGTCTTTTCTTCTTAATTACCTCCAAGATGCTACAACCAATATGAGACATGTGCAAAATATTCATACTATGACTATAATAGCTGTCGGTCACTCTAGTTTCTACTGATAAAACATCATTCTTTTTAAATTTGACTTTGTTGTAATCCATAAAAACATCTAAATAGCTTAAAATCCTTGTAAGGCCTTCAAAACTTATTCCAATTCTTTAAAATAACCTTGCAAAGTAAAAAATTTATTAATATCAAACTCTTTAAAATAAATTCTAAAAAACTAATTTAAAAAATGATAAAAAATATTTTAGTTTTTTAGAGAATCTAATATTAATTTGAAGCGATTTTATAATACCTTTGTGATTTTTTATAGTTATAAAATCAATTTAATTAAATAAAGAATTAAAAAAGTCATGATTTTCTATTCATGCTTTTTCTACCTACTAAATAATATTTGTAAGTTTTTAATAAGTAATGTGTATAAGTAGAAGTCTATTTAATTTTTTAATATTAAAAACTCAATGTAAATTATTTCAATTAAGAATAAATACTAAACTAAGTAGGATAATTGTTTCAAGTACTTGCTAAGACTTTATTTTTTATAATGTTTTACTTAAAAACACTCTTGTAACTTGTTAAACCTTCTATATCCTAATCGCTACCGTTTGCGGTAGAGACATGAGAAAACTACAACTGCAGGTGGTTGAAGGATCCTTCGTTAAACGACCCACAGTTTTGTGCAGTGCACCACTCGACATGGAACCGGCGCAAATTTCACAGCCGTTTGCAAGATACAAATCGAAGGATTATTCGAGAGTGGAGTTGAATTCAGAAAGTGTTACCTCACTGACGTGGGTGACGTGGGTGACGTGGGTGTTGTTATCTATGATTTAATGCGTATGTGACATTTAAATGTTGCGGCGGTTGTAAAGCAAAGGTCACACAAGGCGCCGATATATTTTGGACGTGTAATATTTTTCATAGGTTTTCTTCTTTGTTTCTTTTCCACACATAGGGTATGGCACGTTAGTTTGTGCGAAGCTACAGAGTTTATTTTCTAAGCTCTAGAGCAATTCACGAAAAATCACTTCGTCTTAGAGTTTATCGGGTTTTCTACTAAAACTAAATGGACATTCTGGTTATAGTGAAGCTAGATCGCTAAGCGATTTGGAGAAAAAGTTGTGTCGTATTAACTTGCTCCACCACCACCACAACCTCCGCCGCCCCCTCCATCACAGCCTCCTCCTCCATCACAGCCTCCTCCTCCATCACAGCCTCCGAAACAGCTAGTAGAAGCTTCCACAGCAGGACTGAGATCTATATCACCTTTTTTCCAGCGCTTCTTGTGTTTTCCCGACTTGTATTTCCCCTTTTGATGCGAGTGTTTAGTTTTTTTGGCGCAGAGTGTCGTCGATGTAAGAACTACGGCAGCTTGAAATGCCACCACACCAATCACTACTCCCAGGAGTAACACCATTTTAATTGCGATTTAACAAAGCGCACTTCCCTGCTTGACAGAATGCTTGAATTTAATTGTTGCTTTTCTAGCAGATGGAGATGTAAAACTCATCAAATCAAGTATCAGCTTGAGTAATCAAGAATCCCTCATCCACCAAAGAATGAATTGCAGCTAACAAGAACTTCGAAACACCTCTAGTAAACTTAGCACGAAATTATTCTCACATGTAACAAACCATGGGAATAGCCTCCTCGTCGGGGACGATAATTTCCCGTGGACAGTACAAGACAAGCTCGAAACAGTGCTACCTTCTCAGGCTAAAAACTGATCCACCCCGGCAGTAGCCGAGATGATGTTGCAATGCCACAAACGCAATGCTCCACTTCTGCAGCTTCCCTTTCAGATACTCTTATGCACCCGCTAGCCTACGGAGCTCAGACTTTCTTTCTAGGTGAGGGTCAACCCAACGCGGAACATCACATTTGGCAGAGCGAGATTCTTACTCGAGGAGGCTTCTTGGAATGAAATGCTTCAGTCGTTTGCTTAGGTGGAAAACAGGAAAACGAACCATCCTGACAAAGGGGTGGAAAATTCGCCGTACAACGTCACCTTGTGACGGACGATATTTTGAGCATTCAATGATCTGCAGACTTAGACTTGGAGTCCCCTGGGGTCGATTTGCAATGTCAAGCAGACTCCAACCACAGAAAAATTCAAGAGTTTGAAATATCTGGCGTACTATATTGGTGCCTCGTTTCCACTGTCACGCGAAACTCGTGCCCAATTTCCAGGCAACCCTGCAACTTCGTTAACAGTCGAGATCCGGCTCGAATAGTTCATATGACTGAAGTGGGTGCGCATAACCTTTGTAAACAGTTTCTGCCTGATCCAGGTGTGAATGGCCCAGCACGATTCAAACACCTAACCCAACACAAGTACGATATTGATGCCTTGACTGAACTCTCTCGCTCTCTTTCGCTGCAAGCACAAGGAAAGAGCAGGTTGGAGTTATACAGGTGAAATCCTTCCGACACTGGAATTACTTGATAAGTAAACCTTGTCCAACTGTGGGTTCCGTTGTGAGTTTGCAAGTGCTTGCGAAATGCTGAGCACTCACCTTCAAAAGCATTCTCAAACTGAATTGTCTGATTATTGTAGGGTTTGGATAGGCGAACCTTTTCACAAGCTCTTGACTGTTTCAAGACTCTAAAACCAACAAAACGTACGTTGGATTCAGCTTTAATGATTTTCCAATTCAGAAAGGAGTGTGGTGTGGAGTTCAACGCTGACAGAACACACGTCGTCTGCGAAGCTGTAAAGCAGATTCGCTACATCAGGGGTGAGACATGAGGAGATGGAGCTTCCTCGCATCTAATTGTGGGATTTGTCGTCTCATCTGGATCAGAGCTCTTCAATTTCACAGAAACCGCAGCTGCCCCATGTGCAAAATTTTGTGTGAGGGACTGAATCCAAGCAGCATTTTAATGAAAGTTCTATAGTTTCTTTACTCTAATTGGCAAATGGGACTAGTTTTTTCCTTTTTTATTATTTTGACTTGCACTGCGTTTATCCATTGTACTGGGTGTCCGTTGCACTGGGTGTACTAGACGTACCCATTGCAATGGTTAATGAGAGAGAGTGCAGGTAGCACCCAAAAGTCTAAGATTTTATTTTTGTGATAAGTAATGGAGCATTTTACAATAATCTATTTAATTATCTATTTAGTGAGCACTTTTTATCTATCCGTGATGTGAATGAATATTCTACTATAAGAGGTTCTTATGTTCCATATAATAATCACATTTTGTCTAGTTTCTATAATCCTTATAACCATCTACACATTGTTTCAATTTTTTAGGATTAAGAATCTAAAATCTGATTTTATTCTAATTTTATTTTTGGTTTCTTTCCAATAGCTTATGTTATATTCATTTATTACTTTTCATATTTTCTACCAAATTATCTTGTCATGCGATATTTATTTTAAAAAGATATAGCATTTTATTACACCTAGATTATATACAAGTATATGCATGTTAAGAAGGTTTAGGATTTAGGGTTTTTAATGTGATATACATAAATTTTGTTGAATATTGGCAATGTGAAACTTTCATCTTCTATTATAGATATAAAAGAATTAATTAATTTGAACACTACATGAAAAATGCAAATTACTTCTATTTCATATAAATTTTTATAATTTTTATATTTTAGACAATCAACATTTTTATATATATATATATATATATATATATGTATATATATATATATAATAAATCTTAAAAATTTAGAATGCAAATCATTAATGGATTCTAATTACTATACTCTTGTTGTGTAAAACAAAAATTATCAGTTGCTTCTTTTGGTTTCTAAAAGTTTTATTCTATATAACAAAAAAATTATAAATAGTTCAAATCTATTTTTTATATTATTTTTATTTTTTTCAAATATAAAATATCCTTTAATAATCTAAAATTAAAAATCCAACCTTATAAAATTTTTATCTTATTTCAAAGTTTAAAGAAAAATTTACACATTAATATCTTTTACTTTAAAATTTTAAACATAAATTCATCTTTAAGAAATATTTTAGATATTATAGGTTTTAGACTATAAAGCTTTTTGTAATATATTTTGATTAAAAATAATTTTTAAAAATTAATTGTACAAAGTCATTGTTTCAAATTTAATATATGACATATTTTTTATGCTACTTTTCATTTAATTAGAGTTATTTTATCATCCTATTAAAAGTTAAAAATAATTTTTTTGACTTTTTTGATAGTTTTAAAAGGTCCAATCTATTTAAAAGTAAAGCATTAGAAAAATAATAATAAAATATGATTAACTATTATAATTTATATTGCTAAATAAAGTCTAATAGAATACTAAATTTTAAGTTCTTTTGTTGGATTAATTGAATATTTATAAAGATAATATAATATTTATTAATTTAAAATTTAATAAAAAAATATGGAGATTCTTGTTTCTAAATATTTAGAGATATTAAGTATGTATTAAATAAAAATATAATTATGTCCAACAAAAATTGGAATTAACTCTAACTTTAGATGGTTATTGCTTTGAGCAAAATTCTTAATTACTTTGGCTCAAGGTGGTCTTTATTTGAATTCCAAATATCCTACCTTTTAATTTTGATATTTCTTGAATATATATTTTATTTTAGTGTGTAAATATTTAAGTATAAATAAGGATAAGTATAAATGTTAATATAGATGTATTATTGAAATGCCAATGGTAGTCAATTTTATATGATTTTATTTCACATGTGTCTCCAATGGACACACTCAAACATATATGTCACTACCTTTCTATTGAACTATTTAAGATTTTTTCATGTTGAGCCTATACTCATTCTTAAGGCCTATTTACCTTTTTCTTTGATTTCATCTCTTAGACATGTTTTTTAATTGCATTCTTATAAGAGATAGTTTGAGGTAGAAAATCTAAAACTAATGACGGCAATTGCAACTATAAAAGTGGATAGACTAAAGAATGATGCATTTGTCTTTGAAAAGTATGCATTCAAGGTTTAGAAGATGAACATGATTTTTTTAGAAGATTATTAAAAGTTCAAGATGATCTTGGAATACCAACAAATACACTTCTTATTGCGAATGAAGGGAAAATTAAGCATATCTATCTACTACATTGAAGTATGTCCATTGAATACAAATGTTTACCTTCAAGATTGAATTCAACTCCATTTAGACTACCTCCCACATGAACAATGGATGCATGTGTGAATGACTCCTCTTTGCAAGTAGAAATGCAAGGCATTGAAGCTCTATATAATTGTCAATGTGATATAATTGATGTTTGAGTAACATCAATCAAAATTCTAATTGAGATATCTTAATTAGGTTGTATATCAAACCAAAATTCCTAGTTTGGCCATCTCTTTGCTTGCAAATCATAATTAACATATTTACAAAGAATACCATTTATGTCTAGCACCATATTCCTATACACCTATAATATCCATCTTCATTTATGTCTAGCATCATATTTCTATACATTATCTATCATAATTGGGTGTATATCTAGCACCATATGGGGTTGAAGAAGTGGTTGAACATAATCCCATACTCTCTAAGACATAATCATGGCTGCCATAACTATATTTGTCACCTTACATTCTTCTCGTAGAAACAACACTTCATTCATCTTAAGCATTTTCCTAAGAGCAAACTCAAATTACACATGACTCTAATATATCTGTGAGCTACTATAAACACATATCTATAATAACATAAATCTCAAGTGAAGGGCCACATACCTCATTAACATGCCACTCGCTCTCTGTCTCCAGGTTGATGTGGTCACCAAGAGGAAGAGCTAGGCTTGACTTAGGGTTGCCCTCATAATTCACAAGCTCCTTGTCAATGACATTGGAGGCAGGAACCATATTACTATCTCAGACCTGATTGGATGGTGGTCTTTGCTTCAGGATAAAACAGTCAGTTCCATCTTTAGCATCAAAGTATCCATTATTTTTCATTACAGAACCTGAGTTGCATCCCTCAACCTCATCTGTCATAATTTCAACCTTAAGGTCTTCTGAGTCCTCCCTGGCCATCATCACAAAGTCAATGTTATCTCAAAGAAGAGCTGCATCATGGGCAACTATGTTATGCTCACTGTGAGATAAACTTGAACTCTTCTCATCTGTCTCAGAAGCCTCTATTGGTAAAGAACCTGGAGGAGGCAATGCAACAACTGAGTAAACATCAAAGGAAAGATTTGGGTGCACCACAAACTCCACTGCACTGTAAGCTTCCATTGCCACAGGTGCATATTGCATTTAAAGACTCAACTGGTGCAAGAGTATTTAAATGTTGATTTCCCACTTCAAGAGCTTCACTTTCTTCATCAGAGTCATCACTCAAGTCTATGTTCTCCATACCCCTTTGTTTCTCCTCTGCAATCATCACAGCAGTAGTAGATGAGGGATTCAACATCCTCATCTTTAGCATGGTTGTTGTAGCAACATGTGCTAGAGTTTTTAAGGCAGTTGATTCCTCTATGAACCAGAGATTTATAAGGGAGTCTCCTCTTCATCAAACCCAGCTCCAAGTCCATCACCATCATCTCTACCTCCTCCATCCTGACTATGCTCAGATTCAGTTGAGGAATGGTCCTCATTGCTCTCACTCCTAGATGGCCCTATGAAGCTCTCATCAAATTCATCTCTTGCAATGTAGTGTGGTCTCCCAAAGTCAGGTTAGTCAGGATCTATAATATCAAAGACTGAGTTTTCATGGATGAAGTTGTTAATATCCAGCTGAGGAACAAGGTTTGTTTTGGCATTGTAACAGTCTCCAAAATTAAGGTCAACAATACCATAGTAGTACATGCCAAATATCTGCATTCCACAAAAGTATTTAGTAAACCACTACAAATTTTTGTATTTCAATCAACTCCACAACACAAAAAGCATTTGAACAGAATTGCAACAAAATGGTATCTTACCTGGGCAGCTAGCATGCACTTCAATCCATTAAACACTCTCTAGAAGTTTTCTTCAAGGAAGACAAAATATTCTTCAGCATCTCCAAATAAAATTCCATCCTCAACTCCCTAGCATTTAGCCTATGGGACTCCTTGTACAAATCATACATGGTGTAGTAAGGTGTGTTTGGAGAGGAATAAGCTGATTTCACCATACTCACTCATGTGCTTCTTTACATATGCAAATGCCTGAGCATGTAGAGGTTGAGTGTTGGAAATTCAGAACCAAACCTTCCTGTATGTCATGGCTGGATTCTTTATCATTTGTGTATTCTTCATGAACTGCTTGAAGAAGTTCTCAACTGTATCATCCTAGCTTGAATGACAAGGAGTGTCCTAAAGATCTAGAATGGCAAAGCCAAGGCACTGCTCTTGATCATACCTCCATTGCCCCTTGAATTCCATTTTCACAGCATTGAAGAGACAGGTGCAAATCCGACCTGTTGGGGCAACAAAGTTTTTCTGCAACAGCCAAAATCTTATTGAAGAAAGGATACACCTTAGGCCCCTTCTCTGTCATTCCCTTAGATATCTTGAACATCCCCTACTTCTACATGCTAAAACTGTAGAATAACTTGTCAGGGCTATTAAGAAGGATGTTGAAAGTAACTTTCAAAATATGGAACTCGTCCTTAAATTCATGCCACTTCTTGCTATTCACAGTCATGTCTGGGTTGCACAATTTTAACTCTGGCTTGATGTCATGCAGCTCCTGGATGCAAATTCTCTTGCGTCAGCACCTTCAAAGCCACTCACAAGAGTAGTGGTGAGGTAAAACTATTCCACACGTTTTGCAAGCAGACACCTTTGGATACTTGTAAAACCAGTTGATCCTACAAAGCAGATGGATTACAAGTAACTTTGTTTCTTCCTCAATAGTGTTCTCTATATTCCTTAAAAAAAACTTCTTTGGAGCTGGAATGCCTTGCCTCCCTTGAAACCAGGTTTTAGCACCATTTGATTCAAATATTTGAATACATTCATTCTAAATCATTTTCTTGCAAGGAATATTCTTTTTACAGTAAATCAATCTTCTATCTATAAAGTAGAACATTGTCTGTGTGTAATGGCAAAGCTAATCAATATAAATAATAGAATATAACATAACAGGTCATCTTAGATGCTAAAACAGTTCCTACAAAAATAATACAAAACTATTATCAAACAACTATATATACCATGAAATTAGAACAAAGTAACATATTTGTTTCCCTTACACCATATATTGAACAAAATATCAGTTTGATAGATTCAAAGTTACTAACTCAATATAATGATTTTTGTTGATTTTAAATTAAACAAAGAATTTTCAAAAAAATTGCTGGGTGTACCAGTAGTACACTGGTCATATTAGTACTCAAATAATATTGTTTACAACTATTAAAATTGTGATTTTTGATTTTATTTTATTTTATTTTACTTTTAACATTGAACATTGAGTAAGGGATAAGACATGTACAATTCTAGCAATCGTGTGCAATGCAAAAAATACCAATTTTACCTTCTTTCTATTAACAAGAGACAAGGTCTGTGTATAGTTAAAAACAATGTTCATTCATGCTTCAGAACATGTTAAAACATTTGTCATCAAATTTCCCAGCATCCATTGTGTTAGAAAATATTGAATGCACCATCATTTTTATGTGATTTTCTATTGAAATATTATGTAACATGACAGACTGGTTACACATTCTAATCAAGTGCTTGAAAGATTCAAAATGAGAATAACTATCTCTAATAATTTATGCATTGAAAAGAGATGCTCCTTTCCTTTTGCAGTCTCCTCAGAGGTTTTTGTGTGGTGAAATTCTGATGACTTTCAGCTTTTCATGTTCAGGATGTGAGTTGAGCTTAGGATGTCTAGTGGTCAAGGCTGTTAAACACACTCACTGTTGTTATTGCTTGTGACAACTACTGAGGCTTTGTGTATCTGGCTTGCTAGCTGACCATTTACACAACCTTTGAATCTTACCCTCACTAGTGTAAGGAATTAGTTCTTCATTTCAAGCACATTTAACTCTAATGCACAATTCTTTAAGTTGAGCTATTTCATCCTGTTTGAATGTTTCTCAGGTTCAATGAGGATTGCCTTGTTGGGTGGCTAAAATTTAATCCTTTATTCTATGCAGCTTCAACCAACAAAAATCTGGTAAATTGTTATCCCTAGGTGATATGACAGGTGTATTACATGATGGAATGTTAAAGCTATGAAGCGAGTCAAAAAGAGCAGGTCTAGAAACAGAAATAACAATCACAGAAATATGGTGAAAAGTTCTGGTACTTTGTGCATGGTAGGAAGTTTCTGATTTGTTTGTAGGGCTACGTGCTGCGAAATGTATCCCAAAAAATCCATGTACATCTCTTGAGCGGAACACGCAAGGAAAACGCGTCAGATTTTAAGGACTGGCTCTTGGCAGTGAACAACCCGATCAATAATCCTATCATTGAATAGATGCCTAGTGACAGTAAATTGAATCTGAAACCTACAACTTATCCGTACCAGAGTCACTAATGGCTCATGATTTTCACACATCTTTTAAAAATTCACAACTCTAGATTTTTTCATAAAAATCTTTGTTCTGTTAGTTGGTGATTGATCATCTTTCGTCATGCATTCTCTCACTATTATTTTACACTTTTCAATTGAAAAACCTAAACAGTAGGGCAATTCTTCAACGATGGTTTACTTCAGTCTATTCATAGTTGGCGTAGCGGTGAAGCATAAAACATGTTAGTCTAAATTTGATCACAACTGATAATTATTACTTTGTTGGGTGTATATATATATATATATATATACATATATAATGCTTATCCCATTGATTAATATCATCTGTTCCAAAAAAAGTAATAATTACCAAAGATTATTAGTCAACAAATTTAGTGTTTTGAAAATAGGATAGAAATCACCCTTGCCAGAGCCACAATGCCCCTATTAATTTTCTTCATTAATTTAGAAAATTAACAAAAACCAATTAATTACCAGAAAACAAGGTTTTTAAACATGTACCATAGAGTACAGTTAGTTTCTAAAACTTTCATTGCTTTATCTAAGATCATTAATTTTTGAAGGATCAATAAACTGAGATAACACAATACAATTATTTAGTTGTTAAGATGCAATATATAGTGAAAATTTACTCTAGGCTCTTCTCTTTTGTGTTCATTCCGGGTTTTATTTATTTATATATAAATATTGTTTTTGTATACCAGTTTAGCAATTACACACTCTTTAAAACCTGCACTAATAACTGTAACTAAGTACCAATCATACAGACGTATATTTCAAATATCACCATTTTATGTCACAATTTTACGAACCACATCATGCTATACAATAGTAATCAATATCCACTAAATGGTCCATATGAAATTGAGAATTTCCTCTCATGTTTATTGTCAGTTCAATAAAATTCCATTTGCACTTGCTACTAGAAATTCTATTTAATTTGAGCTTGCTTGAAAGATATCAAAGTCGTTCAATTCATCTGACTGTAAAAACACCATAACATAAGTCTCACATTATAAAACTCAAGCTCAACTTTTTGAACATGCAAGCATCATTCAGTAGAACTCCATTACTAACATCACCAATAGCATTATTTTCTTCGGTTATCAAAATCTCATGCGTGTACGTCTCTATATATGTATGCACACACGTATATGTATATATTTACACAAAAGATAGGGTTAAATCCTTATATTTTGATACAATTATATAAATTCAACTCAAATTAACAATCCATTAGAATGTCACAAAGAGATTTCATTTTCTTGGGTCATGAAACTTATGTCTTCTATTATTAACACTGTTCACAAAGTGCAGAATATCAACAACAATGAACTGGCAGTCAAAACATATCTCAAGCTTGTGAGCTACATCAACCTCCTAAGTCACCACTGCTACTTCATCTCAAGGCTGCCGAAATGAGATGCCGCTGAAAACTTCTTGTAAAGTATAAAAAATAATAGATAAAAACACAATCTTCTTTTAATAAACAGAGAAACCTCACTTACCTTGAAAGAACTACACAAAGAATGATACAAAAATCTCTTGACCTCACTTATTCAAAAGCTCCAGCCCAGTTGAAATGAGCTAGTGTACGCTTCATCAGCGCAACACCCTCCTTGTCGTGTGATCCCTGCAGTAGCACAACATTCGACTCACACAATTAGCTTTTAGACATCTGCATACCTCAAAACTGGGCACTGATGGTGGTATTCTCAGAATTGAAACATTAGCTGCGAGCAGATAGCAGAAGCTGTGATGATACAAGGACGTTGCTTTTGAGTGAGAAGAGTGGCGCTGCACCTTGAGGCAAAGTCCTGCATCCAGGTTGCAGATTGGGTACTCGTGAGGGCAGCAGTGGTAGTGATCATCGCAGCAGGTCGCTGAGTCCAAGGCGCAACATCCCCAAGCGAGGCATGACTTGCCTACCGGAAATGTGCAGCAGCATGTGTTCTCCGCAGGACAAGTACGCCATTTGTCACAAATCTGGTCACACACACACACACACCACAAGTTACAAGATTTTCAGGGAGAATATAATACCAGAAACCCTCAACACTGTCACGAACCTACAGAACAACTCAACGTGAGTAATAATGAGGCCGCTTGAGCCGATGCAGAGACAATCTGCTCACCACTTCAGGAGGTGGTGGAGAAGGAGGAGTGGGGCCAGGGTTGGGTGGGTTGGGCGAGGTCTTCACGGCGTACGAGGGCTCGATATTGATTCCACACAGTCCATAACCGTTGTCATCCTTCAAGTTTCGCTGCATGCGCAGGTATCCACTCTCTCCCCAGTATTCTCCCCATGAGTTCTTCACAATCCAGTAATCCAAGCCCTTCTCGCTGCCATATCCTACAGCCAACACTCCGTGGTCTAGGTCGGTGCCGCACCTCCCAGTGAAGACTCCTCCCGAGTACAACTGGAAATCACGGCCTCCAGCTTCAATGGCAACGCTGACTGGCTGTCCTGCAACTGCCTTTTTCAGCGCCTCCTCATCGTTCTCTGGCACATCCTCGTATGAATCGATGGTCACTACACGGGCATTCATCTGCGCACCACAATGTTTTCAACGTTAGATTGCCTACAAATAGAGGTGAACCCTAACTTGACATGTGGTATCTTACAGAAAGAAATATAAAATGCGAATATATGCGTGTTAGCGAATTTGTCTAATAATCGTGATATCTCTACCTTGTTGACATCGCAGCGGCCATCATAGCCTTGGTAAGGGTAATCCTTCTCAGTGTCAATGCCGCCGTTCTGAATGACAAAGTCAAAGGCGTAGTCCATGAGACCACCATTGCAACCTTGGTTATATTTCTTATCGCAGTCCACGAGCTCTTGCACCGATAGCGAAATTGCATCCCCAGTGCGAATCGCATTGATACCTTCTACGGATCCAACCGCTGAAAAAGCCCAGCAGCTTCCTGATGGCCGCACATACAAAGATTATTGTTAAGCACCGACATATCAAACGAAGTTCAAAAATTACCTAAACATACACTCAGGAACTGGAGCCGAATATTGCTATAGTTGCTAAGAATAAGCAAACCCAGTTCGCAGTGCATAAAATCCTTCTCAATTACAAGCCACGGTCTACACAGGTGGAAAATCACTTCTATTAAAAAAATAGCTCCATCTTTTATGAGCGGCAATGCGAAATTTTGAATGAAACAAAGAATTCTTAGAGGAAATCCAAAAAAAAAATCTTAGAACGCCTAGAATCAACCATTGCAACCCAAAAGATAATCCACAATTGTTAAGGCCCAAGAGAGCTTAAACCACGAACCCTCGATTACACACATCTCAAGCCACTTAGCTCCTACCAAAACACGATCTTAACTTACCGCAAGATCCTTGATCCTTGACAGAAGTGACAGCACCCTTCTCCCGCCAGTCAATAGACTTCGGAGCTTCCGAATTCGCATACCGGAAGCTCCCCGTAGCATTACGCCCTTTCTTTAACCTCCGCGACCGGTCAATTCGCGTACCAGTGTACTGCCTTCGAAACTCCTCGTTCGTCAGGTCGGCAAACTTGGTGAGCCCTAGCCAGTAGCTCAAGTTCTTCTCGGAGTGGCGCTGGATGTACTCCAGATTGTCCTTCCACACGAGGAACCGGTGCGCTCGCTCCTCCGCGGCACTGTACACCTTCCCGTGCTTGTGCGCCCAAGCCGCGAACTGACCGGCCAGGAGCTGATCCTTGCCTACATCAGTGGGCATGCGGATAACATCTCCGTTCGCAACAACGCCGCATAGCAGCAAGGCCACCACCAGGCACACCACCAGCGCCATGTTCTCCACAGCCCCCATCTCTCGAACCCAGCTGCGACAAGACCACTCTCCACCAGCACTCCGTCTCGCAGACCCAACAAGGCTTGGCGTGCGCCACGAAAAAAAGACCCACACCGCGGCAATCTAGGCACCATGTGTATCATTCTACACGATCTAGATGGGTTCCCAAAAGCGCAAGCTGCAAGGGCCGTTCCGCAACGAGCGGTGGCGCTTTGGTGGCGTCGTGGCAATTCGCGCTGGCGTGCAAGGTAAATGGAGCGAGAGATACACACAATGGCAATCCGGGTTACGAAACCTGCAGGGCTGTTAAAAAAATAAAAAATAAAAAAATCTGCGCATATTCCCGATTCCTGCATCGCTTTCCGCATTTCGTCTGAAGCCTCGTCAAGTCAGAATTCAGATTACATGCGTACCCAAAGCCACCACCTCCCCCATTCCTTGCGGTTCTCCATTTGCGTTGGTTCAATGTATGTATTTTATGTGTGTATTTAATGTGTGTACAATAATATGTAGGCTCAGCCTATAAGCACACCCCAAATTGCTGTACACACATCCATTATGTCTATACACACACAAGGCCTTTGATAGGCTAATCCAAATCCCTTTTTCCTTGTCCCAGTGCATGTCCCGAAGCTCTTAGCTTTCTTCCTTGCCTTAGTGCCAATTTTGGTCCCCTCATCACCTTCTTTCTAAACCCCATGTAGGTCCTAGTTCCTTTCTTCTATTTTTTCTTGTTTTGGTAGTGGGACTTGTGCTGCGGCAAGAAAGAGAAGAAGGAAATTTGGAACAATAAAAAAGGGATTTAGATTAGCCAAGTAAAGGTCTTGGATATGTTTATAATGGGTGTATATACAGCAATTTGACATGTGCTTGTAGCTTGAGCTTAATATGTATTTATTAGTGTATATTGTATATACATCCATGTGATGTATATGTGCATTTTGTTATGCCCATACAAGTATTACACTTGAAGTATGTATGTTGCTTTCATACTCATCTTGGTTTTGATCACAATGAAATTCTTGCATTGCACTTATGTCTCAAGGAAAGGAAGGACTATTCCATCCCACCTTCCATATTCTACACATAGTACCTTACATGTATATTTATATGTATTTGAATGGTATGCATTTTGTTTATGTGTGTAAAGAGTGATATGATTCATATATGTGTTGTGTTGCACCTAGACAGGTAGTCTACATAAAGTATCTGTATTGCTTCCATATCCATTCTGGTTTTGCTCCATGAAATTGTTGCCTTGTATTTGTATAACAAGGGGAGATTTCATGTGTAAGATAAAGAATAAAAAGATGATAAAAAGACATAAATCAGCCCCTTTTTTCTTTTTTGTTAATATCTTATTTACTGTTTTATAGGATGAGTATTTTTTTGGGGGGTTTTGTTTGCTTAAGAAGGCTTCAAAATGGGAGAGTACTAACTAATGTTTACATTAGTTTGAAAGGGATATGTCAAAAGTGGAAAATATCTCAATTATAAGAGTTTAATTACAGAAATACTTCAGATTCATTATTTACATATTTAGTACCATGGCTTTTGAATACTATGCTATAAATATGGAGAAACATATTTTAAAAACCATGCTTGTAATAGATTGGCATATGAATTTTTTTTAATTTAAAGAAACACTTATTTTATTTTAAAAAATACTTTTTAATTAAAAATAAAAAAAATGATGATTTGAATTGTGTTTAGTCAGATATACAACTCTATAAGCCAAATTCATGATTTTTTTTCATTCATTCATGCATCAAGTTGTAGTCAGTCTAAATTATTGTAGAATTTATGGTTTGGATTATATTTATTATTTTGACTTATTTAAATTCTATGATAATAATTTACAATATAAATTTATATTTTCATTTATGTATTTTAAAAATAAAATAAAATTTCTTCATATTTCACAAACATAATTATAACTAGGTACAACACATACGTGTTAGAAATTATCTATTCTGTTAAACATGCTACAATAGACTAGTTCTTTCAAACCATTGTAATAAATTAGATCATTTAATAAACAACCAAATGGAATATGATTTATTACTTTTAATATATGTTTTTTTAAGAAACTTTTTTTAGTGCATTGGTTTATCAAAGGGAAACATAACCTCACAAAAATAAAAAATAATTCAAATTAAGTGAAAAATATAATTAAAATTTTAATCTTAATTTTTTTTAAAATTAAGATATTTTGACTTTAAAGCATTTAAATACTCATAAAATCAATTAATATTTTGGATAGATTGTATTTGACCTATCAATATCTTAAATATTTCAAATACAATCTCAAAAATGTAATTAATTTAAAATCAAATAACATTATAAAATAAATGATTTATTTAATAAAATATTAAATACATACAAGGAATCATTAAAAATAATAAAATGAAACCATAAATTTATTTTAAAATTACTATATATATATATATATATATATATATATGTCATAGATTATGTGTTTTTGGTAATATTCAGTTGATAATAATTTGTAAAAAAATTTACTTTAAAAAAAATCTTTGTATTGAAAAAATAAAATTAAGAAAAATCTTCTAATTCTAGATATAAGACATAAAAAAAAAATGTGTCATATAAATAAGAATTTATCATATATATATACATAAAATAAGTGTATGCAATTTATAAGAAGTCTAAGAATTAGTGAAATATTTTTATAAGATTTGATCTTGTTTATTTGAAGTATAAGTGTAATATTATTACTTTAGTTTAAAACTTTGCTTTCAAAAACAAATTTCTATGTTTTACTTTATCTTCATCTAATAAAATAATAAATTTAAAGTTAAAAATTACACCTTTAAATAGATAATTTTTTATCTTTCAAATGCCATAAAAATACATGTAAATTTAAATTACTACAATAATTTTTGATAATTTAAAGATTAAAAATAAAAAAATAAAAAATTAGAATGTAGGTTATATCTTGAGGATAATTTGCTTAAAAGATTAATGATTTGAGCCTCACCAAGGGTCTCAAGTAAAATATATTGGTATTTTAGAGAGGTCAAAAAGCCCTAAACTTGTCCTCTTACTTATACCCAAGGTGCTACAATCTATATGATACATGTACACCTCATTTTCTTCAACTAATACACTAGCTACTGGTCTTCTTACTTTTTAGTAGTAAAACTATTGTTTTTGCATTTTTGACTTCAAAATGGTATTCAAAAATATTCTATTAGCTACAGACCTTCAAAATGCCTTCAAATCTCACTAATTTTTTTACCAAGGTTCTAAAAATATAATCTAAAAATTCCTAAACATTCTTAGATATATTTTGAATAAATTTAAAAAAATTATATAATATTTTTGTAGTTTAAATATCAGTTTAATGCTACCTTTTTTTTTACCATGATAAATTTTAAAAGTTATAAAATTAATTTAAATCAATTAAAAATATTATTTTCTACATAAATAACTATGAAAAGATACTAGATTATTTTTCATGATCTTTTTACCTATTAACTAATATTTGTAGATTTTGAATAAGTAAAAATTATAAAATAAAGATCAGTGTAGATTTTGGTTTCAATAATTATTAAGCCTCTATTGTTATGGATTTTTTTTCTAATACAACTCTTTTAACCTATAAATCCTTAATGTTTTGATAGATACTAATCTTAATATTTTAGTATCTAAATAAAAATTTTACCAATTAAAATCCATTGATATGATTCATACATGTCATTACAAAAATCTCATAAGAAATAACTACAAAGGCCAAGGATTATGGTAGTATGTGTATGTATAAAGATGAAGGAAGAAACTAGATAATAATAAGTGCCTAATATAAGGCCAAAGATTTTTATTATTGATGTTTTTAATACAAAATTTCTCTTTAAACTTTTTATTAATCTAAGATCAATTTTAATTTACTAATTTTTATTTCTTATATTTTTTTTATTTTTTTTTATCTAAGACCAAACTTTGCAACTTTTGTCAAAGTTTTATGAAATTTAACTTTAAATAGTTATTCATACAAAACTCCTTCTACCAAAAACTTGTCTACAACTTATCAACATTTACATGAACAAGACATTTTTTAAATTGATAGTGGCAAATTAATATATGATAAGTAAAATTATTACTTTCTATTAGTTTGAGATGACAATGAAATATTTCTAAATTAAAGGTAAGTCTAAAGAGAAGTTTATAATATATTAGAAGTTGGACATGCTTTTGTTCAAAGTATCAAAATTTTATTAGAAACAATTTATTTTTCCAATATAACAATCTACTTTCATATTAATAGTAGTATAATAATTATTAAGTATATTATTTATTAAGTAAAAATCTTATAAATACTTCTATGGCCTAATTGTAATAGATGGTAATATAAATATATAATTAAAAAGTGAAATATATTTATTAATATTTAAATTCTAATTATTCTTCTATAACTAAAGATTTATAATATTTAAATATTATTTATTTAGAAAAGATATTCCATATATATATATATATATATATATATATATATATATTTAAAATTAATTTATTTTAAGTAGATTTAATTTACTATTAAAATTAATAAAAAGAATAGCGTGTTTTTATAATAATTATTTTTATATTTTGTAGATGGATATAGCAATGCAATATAAATATTACCTATTATTATTTAATTTATTAATATAAATTTATATTTTATATTATTAATTACATATTTTTCAAATGACAAAAGGTTATTTTATAATTTATTTTTATAAAATAAAATTTTATTATAAACATATTCATACTTAATTTTATCAATTTAATAATTTTTTTTTATTTCATATAATATCTTATATTTTCATACAATTTTTTAAGAAACATAACAACATATTAGAAATTTTATGATTTTTTTTAATAAATCTAATATTTCTATTCATATTATTTAATTTTTCAAAAAATGATTTTTCAACATTCAAAAATTCTTCTTTAATCTCTTTTTTATAACATAATCAAAAATAAGATTGAAAAAACTTTATATTTTTAACTTTTTTGGATAGTTTTAAAATATTTAATATATAACATATATCACTTATATTTATTATTTTGTTATTATTAAATGTATGTTTTAGAAATATTTAAATTTAAATATTCAAACTATTCAAATTTAAATCTATAATAATTAATAAAGAATCATCAAAATCCATAAAAATTAATTTATCATTTATAGAATCTAATCTAAATATTATTATATTATGTGAAGTTTTACTTGAAAATACAC